TTTAATGGTCGTTTATAGCCGTACGAAGTAATCTTTTGGCACTACTCTAAGTCGACAGGTGACCTTCATTGACGCCTGAGTATTTCAGCCAGGCCTGCAGCCTTGTAAACAGAGCCCAGATTGTGCAGAGTTATACAACTGTCTTTTGTTCATGAACCTGGCTCAGTGCACTGCAGACCTCTTTTCAATAGGGGCCAGATTAGCGTGCAGCAGTGCTGTGTGGCTCATCGCTGCGGTGGTGGAACGCTTTGTCCCCGGTGGTAATTCGCTTGCTTTCATTGCCCCAAACCCTGGTATACGGTTTCAAAATAACGCTGGATTATCACCACTTTTGAGAGTGAAAAATGCCGGTAATGCCCTGGTCTTTTGTTCGTAGTACGGTCTTTTGTTACAGGGCCCTGTTTCCTTTGTCCAAGTTCGGAGACCCCGGCCACACATATAAACCATACGGCTCCAATTTCGGAGTCCCCGGCTGGTAGTGGTTAAGATACAGTAACAGCATGAAAGTGTCTACACATTAATGAGGAATGGGCCCAATGAAGTCTGATGTTTTTGATAAGAAATACATTGGCACATTTTGTAATGAAATATCCAACATATTGCTATGCAAGTCGTATATTTGAAAAATAAAGTCAAGTGGATTTCAATATTTATAAAGCTGATCTACTTCGCTACAAAGCACTTCAATTTCAGTGGAATACTTCAAAATACCATCTTACCTTTCTTTGTATAATTTATGCTCTTGTTCATGTCTGGCCTGTTCTTTAGATACTTCTATGCTTATAACATCTTTGAGTTCCTTGCTGTCTAGACGGTACATGTTATTAAGCTGCACTCTGTAATCAAAACAAGAGAACCTCTCTAAACTTAAAATGCTAGGAAAAATTCTGCGCAGGATTCACTGAACTTGCTGAAATTGTGATTACAATTTTCCATCCACTACATCAACTTTGAAATGGTTCAACTGAGCATTTTCAAGATGTATTTTTGCGTTGGGGAGATGTTAATTATATATAACAGGTTTTGCCCTTACCCAATGTATNATTTCCTTTGTCCGAGTTCGGAGACCCCGGCCATGCATATAAACCATACGGCTCCGATTTCGGAGTCCCCGGCAGGTAGTGGTTAACAATGTCCAGCACTCCATTCCTATATCTTTTCTGCATTTTCTTTAGCACGTCATTCATTAAGTTATCAATGAAACTTTCATGTTTTTTGAAACACCATATCACTGTTTGTGACATTTAATACAAAGGATTACAACCACGGATGAAAGCTCTCTGGCGCTGCAGTGCTGAGAAACACAATAATCTGGCCCCATTGAAAAAGATGCCAGCAGCGAACTGCTCCAGTTTCGAGAACAAACGAAAACTACGCAACACCGCACAATCTAGGCTCTCTTTACAAGGCAGCAGGCCTGGCTGAAATACACAGGCAGCCATAGATGTTGCCTTTCAGATTTAGAGTAGCCACCAGACAGTCATTCGTGTGGTGTGGTGTCCAGTAAATGCAGTAATGACTTTTTGAAGAATTTTGAAAACGGAAAATCTTGAAAAACGCCCGTTTTTGTGCACAGCCATTTTAGTTGAACCCGGCAGCATGTGGTTAACCCTTAAAAATGGGGTTGGGGTGGGGTTTAAGCCGACAGTTTCTTTGGTATCGTTGCCGAGCTTGCAGGATTTCTCTTGTAATACCTAATGATCATTTTGATACCAATTTGATGAAAACCAGACGGACCGTTCTTGAGACAGGTCGGCCGACAATGTGAATTCCCCTATTGACATGTGCTCAACGCGAGCAAGTGAGGAATTGCAACTTGCCAGATTACTCGTAATGAATATCTTTACAATTACACAGCGTCCAGAACTCGTTGACTGAACCAGTTGAAGCATCCCCTTGTGGTAGTTTGCTTGATATTGACCTGCCCGTCTCAATTCTCCCCCCCCCCCAGACAACGATCTCCGTCTGCTCTGCCAGGAGGCTCTGGACCTCATCAAGGGCCTAGTGGGACTGGAGACTTTCTCCCATGCTTATACAAACGTCCAGCGAGTCATCGCACAGACCAGAATCCAACGCAAACACAAGAGGGCGCTACAGGTAAGGCAGGACAGGACACTGGGTTTGGCCTTCGTGGATTGTGTGGTGAGGCAGGGACGGCATGGGCGACAGTTAGTCTGTGAACTTTCCATACCCACATTACGTTGTAATTGAGCTGTTGGAATTGAAGAGGTACAAAGTTGAATGTAAGCCAGTGAAGACTTGTAAGTGGTAGAGTGTGCCCATGCATGACAAAGTCAGTATCAAACTGGATATTCTATATTTATTGTATTGATTGGTCACTACTTGATTGTATTGAGTAGACTGTCTGAAAAATGAAGACCCAAGCTTCCTCCTGTACTCAACAATTTTTAATTTGTTTTCACCCCAAGAATTCCTGCCCGCCTTGTTTTTCAGTGGAAACTTGAAAATTTATTTTCCCAAGTTCATGGCTCTTGCCATGGAGGAAGAAATTAAACTTGGTAACATTGATTGTTTCACAGTCACGGATTACTTTTGGTTTTTCCATTTCACCTCTGAAGGCGGTTGCAGATCCTGTCCAGGCAGCCCGACGAAAAGAGAAGAAACAGCAAAACAAGAAAGTGGCCAAGAAACGAAGAATCCAGCAGCTGAGACCAACCTACCAGATGGCGAAGAAGGCAAAAATTGCAGGGGGAATGTAGACTCCATCCCACAGCAGGCAGTCTTCCTGGATTACAGTACGTTTCCTCAACAGCAAAGTGAGTCAAGGGTACCTAAACTCCATCCTTTGGCAGATGCTCTGGCTTGCAACAGGTTTTGGACTCTTACATGGTGTATATAACCTACAGAGAGCTCAGACTCCATCCCACAGCAGGTAATTTGGCTGGCTTCTAATCACAGTATTTGCTTCAGTATATGTTGACCACCATTTCTGGACAGTAACTCGAGGATGCTTAGACTCCATCCTGTCTAGAACACCATGCCTGGTCCACATAACCCACAGTATGATTTGTCTCTAGCAGAATCTTTATCCCTCCCTTCACTGCCAAGTGTTAACTTTGGAACCAGGTAATAAATACTCCAAACTTTGACCGTATTTTACATGGGTTGGATTTTCTGACGGGAAATGAAGCCATAGGTTTCAAGTTTGGGGAATGAAGGTCAAGACATTATACCCGAAAAGCAAAGCCAGTGACAGAGGAAGAAGTTTGGGAGGCCTCCCCCCCCAGTTTTTAGTAGACCAATAACAGGCTCATTGCATGGTCTGTGGATTCTCTTTGCATCAAAAAAGGGAATTTTGAGCACGAGTATGTTATAGGTTGCTCCCAGATATGTTTGATTATTCAGCCATTGATGAAAATGAAGTGGGGTATTTCTGTGGGGTTTTACTTGGAACACAAGAGTAAGTATATATGGGACAGAATACCGTTTCCCTTCCTCGGCCGCCACTGGGTAGTTTGGAGCAAAAGTAATTTTTTTGTGGGCAGTTTTGATAGAATTTCAAGGTAAACCTCTTCTCACTATGTCAAATTTTGACTCTTTGATTCGGTAACATATTTTCTTTAAGAGCTGCACAAAAGGGCCCTGTGAGTGTATTGCTTTGCCGTTTTTAAACTCATTCTACTAGCGGCCATGTCTGTGAATTTGTAAAGGAATTTGTGAAAAGAAGTTTTTCCCCCAAATTCTTACAAAGTTTCGACATAAAACTCTGATTTATGAAGTGTTTGCTCAGACTTGTCAACAGCACGGTGCATTAGCACAGAAGCAAGTCAAACAACAAACAAACAACCATGTTTCTTTCAGCATGTTTATTTCGGAAAAAAAAAAAAAACCTTTTAAAGTATGAAAATAAAAGAAAGCCACTTTTTGTAGTATTCAATTTGTACCCTGCCACACAGTACATACAATGAAAGGGAACATAACATTTCAGGAAAAACAGTCACCAAAAAGTTAGGGCTTTACGCAGGTCTATGCCTTGCAAAGACAGCCTGAAGAGATATATTTGTACGTGCCATCACCAAAAAAAGACTATACAGATAAGTTTGTACATATTATGAAGTAACAGATTAATGGCCACTGATGAATTCCAATAAAAGATACAACACATTCTTCCCTTGCAAACTGATCAAAGTACATTTTACTTACAATGCAGATGCCTTTTTACTAGCTTTGCTTGAAGCCGTCGTCGTCCTGTGGGGGGGGCACTAAGAAGGACGCGCAAGCTTTGCAAAGCACTGTGGGCAGCCTCGACTGCCTTAATCAGTGTATGTGCATATGGTCTGCACGTGCTGGGACTGCCTGACTGATCAAACGGATTCTTCCCACCAAGAAATGAAGTAAAAATGTGACACAGTGTGAATGAAGTAGACCTTACAAGCACCCTTAATGTAGACATAGGCACAGGCCTATCACATGGCAAATTGAAATACTTTCACAAAATGATTTCTATTGCTCCTCTAAGATAATTGCAAAACACCGGTATGCTACACTCATTAATTATGACAATTATTTAGACAGAAAAATCATAAGATAATTATATTTTTTTAAACAGTCGCCAAACCATAAGCTCAGGCATTTTTCAGTGATCAAGACTTCATGTACGTATAATGGTTTACGTCCCATCTGCACCTGTACATGTACATATTCTGTGCAGTAGGTACGGGCATCACTGTACATGTACTATACATTGTACATTATGAAGTACTGTTAGTTACATAAATTCAGTGTTCTCTGTCATACAAAAACCTAATGTTTTAGTCACCCTCCAAACCCCATAAACCTTATCGTTATATAAACAAATCTCTCCCCTATCCAATACCCTTGCACCGTTGACAAGTTTTGTGTATTTCTTTCTTTCACCAAATGCTGATGTGGCCCAACTACTCAAAATCTTACACCAAACTGCATCAAGACTTCCGAGACTTGTACACATTCTTTCAAGAACATCAACATGCGAGCAAGACGTACACTTTTCAAGTAAAATTATGATAACACTATCATAAATTTGTACACTATGATTAAATTTGTACAAGTGGAAAGTACTTGTTTCTCACATTGTCTTTGAAATTTAAGTACTTTCAAATGGATTTCCGAAACTTTGAGAACTTTTTCTAGGGGAAGCAACATCGTATGGCAAATGACTCTTGACATCTTTATGCTGGCGTTTTAAGTATTTGTCTTGGACCTTGGGATAATTCTGAATAACGAGGCATTTCAGAAATGCTTCCTGATCCTCGGGTTTCTCTTTACCCTGACTGTTGCACAGACATTTTTCCGAATTAATATTTACACAGCACTTCGACACTTATTAATCAAGTGCTTTGGTGTTACAAGATCGGTATGAGCTACTGGCATGAATAGCACACAACTGAACACCTTGTCAGATCCACCTGACAAGTCAGAGTGTTCTGAACACTTCCACTGTATTCTGTCAGACAAAAACGCTTCCACGGGACTCAAGTCAATTAAGACACCATTACATCTACATACAGTCAGAATGAAAGTCAACTGATGATGGGTGTATAAATTACATGACAGACAGACACTTCCTCGGGCAGTCATTATTCATATCGGCCAACATCGTTTTCATTAGCTTACAACTTTCAAAAATAGAATTTTTTTCCATTTGTAAATGAAGTCGTACTGAAATTTTTTCCCGTTCTAAATGAACTACGTCTTATGCTAAAACTTACTTCTATGGGGTCAGTGAGATGTTCTGACTAAAAACTGACGTGCTGCTTTAAATGTGGTGCATCAATCAAAACAGTTACTCTTGTCTTTAAATTACATTGCATTTTTCGGCATACGAAAACACAAAAATGGAAAACAGCTTAACTAAATAGTTCGCCATCTTGAACAGTCTTTTCTAACAGTTTATAAAAAGTACAAATATAAGTTATCCCACGCAAACAAAAATAATTCTTTTTTGATACGATGTTTGGAAAGAGACCCTGTCTGTGTTCTATAGCACCCACTGCGTTCATCATCATAGACACGACTTCACAAGACCAGACTTCCACAAAAGAAAAAAACGAGACGTACATGTATATGAATGAGACCAATGCATACCACACGGAGCATATATCAATGGACAGTCACACATCGCGCAATAAAAGATTGCTTGAATACATGTTCCATGCTGCTTCTTGAAATTTTCATCAGCCACAAAAAGAAGATAATGGATCTGGAAATGCCATAAAAATAAGTGGAGAAAGATAACTATTTTGAGCTGTGCAAAACTGCAGAATGTAATCAGTACCTCGGAATTCTTTTTGTTGCTGTCTTAATTCGGATTAATAACTAAAAATGCTGAGCAAGACTCTCTTGCTTTGATAAAAGATCTTCATGGCATTGGCAGAACTGTTACGTAAATGGGGGGGGGTTTCGAGGAAAACAATTAACATACAAACCAACTCAGACCGATTCTGTTTCATCTCAAGATGGCCGCCCTCTCATCCTCGTCCATATTCTCCATGTTCTCTGTGTCTCCAAGCAGATCCCTTTTCTCGTCCAGGCTGAGCTCTGAGCCCGTGCTGTGCCGGTCAGGGTAAAGAGACCCGTACATAGGGTTGGAAAAATTGGTGGCCTGTAAAAAGGCAAGACGGGAGGAAAAATACCTTCTTGAAAACAAAATATGAGCACATTGTGACTTGGCCCACTACGTGTCAATTTCCATTTTCTTCTGTTGGCAAACACAGGATGACAACCAGAAGCAATCATTAATAACCTAAAAACAAAGTGACCTTTTATAAGAGGGCCCATTTTGAATTTTCTAAAAGGTAAGCCTCTACTGCTAGCTTAACACTCACATGACTATTAAAATACCAAACATACGTTCCCTTGAAATGGGCGGCACAGTGGCTTCTGAAGGAAGGCCACTTTGGCCTTGGTAGCCAAGTGAGTCCGAGGCCACCATTTTGGTATCCATTTTTCCAGTCATTTTCTCAGTTACGTGATAAGCAGCCAGTTCACTAGCTCATAAAAATCAGGCATGCCCACTTATGACCACAAACTTGTGGTCACGATGAAAAAGCAATCGAGTCATACAACCATGATTAACACGGCCTTCGCCCATTTTTTTTCCTTTCAAACACTGAAAATCTTCCCCCCTATTAGTGTGGGTCGGGTCTCCTAGTGATACTTACCCCTGCCCAGCCTACATATGCAAATTTCCCATGTGCCTATTAAAATTTGCTGAGAAGACTTGAATATGCATTCTGCCCCCGACCCTCCACAATGGACTGCGATCCCGCCGCCATGTTCGTCCTTCTTTTTGAAGCGATGAAAATCACCAGAGCCAAAGTGGGAAAGGACCTGACCCACACTTATGTGGGGGAGGAGTCTCCTGCGTTCACATACCCCTGCCCAGCTTACATATGCAAAGTGGCACCGTACCCTGGAGATGGGTCAGCGAGGGGAGTGTAGTTACTGATAGAGACATAAGGCGGGCGTCGCCAGAGCGAGCACTCACCAGAAGAAACCCATAGGTTGAAGTATCCACTGCCTGGCCCGGAACAGAGCTGGACATTGTCCGGACTGCCTAGTGCAGGGTCGCTCTGCCATGGGCTGTTTTGCTCTGCAAAAAATCTTTCACAGAATCTTTCACAGAAGGTGGAGGGAGATTTTTAGCAAGCCACCTGGCGGATTTCAGCTAAAGGAACTCCTCTGAAGTATGACCAGGATGCAGAGGCAGCCCACACACTGTAAGCCCTGACATAAGATCGGGTCATCTCATCATGTTGTGCCGGTTAGCGAAGATAATGGCTGAGACCGTCCATCAGGCAATAGTGTCCCTCAACGCCAGATGAAAGCGTTTTTTCGTGGGGATGAAGAGCCGGGAATTAGATTATTGGTAATGCTCGGTCCTGGCAAGATACCACTTGAGAGTCCTGACCGGACACCTCTTGTCTGAGTTGTCTCCTGAAAATGAGGGAACGAAAATGTTGGGAGGCCGACAGGTAGGCATCTGTTTTTTTTGTCAGAAACTCGATGGTTTGGATAAGGCAAACTCTGTGGCTCCCAGCAGATGTGACCATCGGCAATCGATAGGACATGAAGCTCGCTACCTCGATGTAACAACCGCAGGAAGGAAGGCCAGTATGATGCTGAGATGGAGGTCAGATGCATCGGACAGCAGTTCGAATGGGGGACCAGCAAGAACGCGTAGGATGCTTCCGAGGTCCCAGGATAAGACGAGGCATTTGACGTAGGGACACTTGACAAACATTCCTCGAAGGAGATGGTGGATGGCAGCGCTGTCAGAGACAGTCAATCCATTGCTGAAGCCCGAGTGAACAGCCGCCAAGGCCGACCAGTAGTTATGGATGGTGGCAATCTGGAGGCCCGAGTAAAACAGATATGTGAGGAAGTCTGCAACGAAACTCACAGGAGCCTTGGTTGGAGTAACATGGTCATCGCACCATCTAGTAAAATGTTGTCGACGGCTGTTGTAAATTTTTCGAGTGGACAGTCATAGACCCCAGGCCACCATGGATGCAGCGTCTGCAGAAAGGCACGACGCCCTGAAGGATCGTTGGACGACGTCCAGCGCGTCGAGTGAAGACTTTCCGGTGCTGGGTGGAGGATTCCTGACTAGGGTTGGCCAAGGATGTCCTCCCAGACTGGAAGGACCACCGGCTGTCGTACCAGGAGCCTTGTCAGTCTTGGAAACCACAGTTGGCAAGGCCAGCACGGAGCGATGAGGAGGATCCGACATGGCTCTCATTCTACCTTAGACAGGACGTGCGGGATATTGAAGGAAAGGCATATGACAGACGGCACGACCAGTCGACCTGTAAGGTGCCTGTCGCCCATGCCCGTCAGTGAGGGAACCTGGAGCAGAACTTCCGGAGATGGGTTTTGTTGGTGGAAGTGAAGAGGTCGATATGGGGATGCTTGATCTCCCACCCTGTTGAAGAATCCACCCTATTGGTCGGACGGCACCCCGATAGAGTGTGTCTGCTATGCCGTTACTGGTTCCCGCTATGTGGACGGCTTGGAGGGTGATCGTTGATCGTTTGTCCACGTGAAAAGCTGCCACGCAAGGGTGCAGCGTTGAGGAGAGACAGTACCGCCCTGGCGGTTGATGCACGCCACTGCCGCTGCTCTGGATTCGAACTGAACGACTTATTAGGTGTTGTCAGAAATGGTGAAGGGCGTTGAACACCGCTTGGAGCTCTAACCTGTTGATGTGCTTGTCTTGAGAGGGGGTGTCCCAGACCCTTAGAGGCATGGAGTCGAGGAAGAAAGGTCCCATCTGAATGCGACACATCTGTCATTACAGTCACATCTGGATCTAGAAGTACGAAGGGGAGGCTGGCCGACAGGTGCTTGATGATGGTCCACCACCAGAGGTGATTGTGAAGGAAGGTCAGCCCACATGTCAACAGAAGCGAAAGTTTTCATTATGAGAAAAGAATAGTGAGCCCTGTTCCATTGGACTATGTTCAACGTGGCCATTTGAATGCTGAAGTTGGAGGACTACGGCCATATCATTACATGCACAGGGAATCAAGATCATATGATTGCAAGAATAAGAAAGACTGCAGGTAAGGAGCGTCCAAAGATGGAAGATCGCTCCATAACCAAATACTTCTGTTCTACATCAAAGCTGGCCCGGGAGGCGTGGGACCGTCCCGGTGTGTAGACTGATGAGCCATACCAATGAATACACGTCTTTCATCGTAGGTGCTAGTAGTAGGGAGATCGCCCGAGGACTTCAGAGAACGGGAATTGAGGGTGAATGTCAGGCGCACAGATCCGGCTAACGGGGAGTAAGTTTACTCACCCCAATTGCAGTGCCAAACGGATAGAGCCACCATGGTCTAGGACATGATCCAGAGCCGGATCCCGCTGGGGGAAAGGTTCTGGCTGGACAACAGAGACCACTTCAGCCTCGGAGAACATCCCTTGTGAGGGAGGAGGGATGGCCGGGAGGGGATTCGAGTCAGGTGCCGTCGCCACTGGCTGAGGCTCTGTGTCTATCTTGCGGGCGAGAGAGAGGTGAAGGCCTCCGAGAGGGACTGGGGGGGTCGTCATCCATGGGGGGTGGATCCGGATCAGAGCGGCGTTTCTTCTTAGCCTTGGACGAGGAAGAAGGCAAAAAAGATGTCTTGGCCTTGCGCTCCTTAGCCTTCACTAGTGGCGGGAGCCAGAGGCCGGGACGGCTGGAGGTACAGCCAGGCCAGGGTCCCCCAAATGGTCGGTTGTATCCTGCGAGGAGCATCCAAGGCCGTGATCGGTGGCCTCATGACCGGAGTCCATCCAGCTGTGGATAGGATGTGGCAGTTGAAAGCTCGGCGGCGTAGCAGTTCACAGGGGGAGGGGGGGGCAATGTCGTCTGATGCAACGGAGAGCACCATGCTGAATTGCAGACTCGCCCGCGACAGAAGCGGTGGAAGGTGACGAACCAGCTGTGGAACCCATTGCCAGCTTGGAGGGAGTTGACTGGCCCGGCTCTGAATGGCAGCTGCCTAGCGAGCAGAAGCTGGTGAGAGGCCCAGGGCAGACGGCATACCGTCGCCCCGTGAGGCCATCGGTCAGTAGAGTCGTTTAGGGGATGTGGTAGGTAGCAACGCCCAGTACTTGAAGCCTAGAGAAAGGAACAACCCATTATTCTCTAGCCAGCCGTGATCAAGGGTATTGTTGTGGCATAGCTCGCTCAACCTGATCTGTAGATATGTGGAGTGGGCATCCATGACCCAGGGTAGTGTTGTGGTCCAGCACGCTCAGCCCGGTCGGTAGGTGTACAGAGCAGTCATCAATTCAGCCCGATCAATTCCAGTAGTGGTCATCATTGATCAAGGGTATTATTGCGGCATGGCACGCTTGACCCCGGCCTATTAATTCCACTGGGTATCTCCTTGTCAAGACCGTTAATCGGATAACGCAAACCACAAAGGAGCGGGGCAGCCCGCCAAGCCCCGCTCCACGGCCAGACCCATATAGAGTTGGGCAGTTATTTTTCGAACGCACGCACCACATAGACAACAAAGGGCTGCTCAGCCCTGTTCAACGGCCATACACAACACACCACGGTAGGTCAGACCCACACCTGTAGATAATGCACAGAAAAAAGGGACTGAAAAGAACAACCAAATATACGAAATACGAGAATAGACACTCTTATCAATAGATAGGAAATCAATCACTTTTTATTTATACACAGAAATCAAGTCACAAACGCGAAAGGTACGGAACTCGAAACTCCAAAAATGCCATAAAAGACATGTTCGTAAAAGATAGGCACTGAGAAAAGAAGGACAAACATGGCGACGGGATTGCAGTGCATTGTGGAGGGTCAAGGGGCAGAATGCATAATCAGTCTTTTCAGCGAATTGTAATAGGCACATGGGAAATTTGCATACGTAGGCTGGGCAGGGGTACGTGAACGCAGGAGACTTCCTGAGATATGCAAAGGAATAGAACTACTACCAACATCACGAAGAAGACCGATTTATCATTAATATGACAATTTCAGTTTTCTTATCTGTGGAAATCAGATATTACAGACACCTGCTGTATGCATATATTTCACGACAGCACAACATGCAACCAGTACAAAGTCAAAATGAAAAAAGTGTCTGATTGCACATATGAACACAATGCATTTGTATGTTATGTACACTTAAAGGCAGTGCAGACACAGTCGAGACAGCAAAGTTAGACTTGTTTAACGTGCACAAAAAAAGTGACATGATCACCAGAAGCACTACGAAATGGCAAAACTACGCACAAACTAGTGGACATGCATTTCCAAATGCTAAATCACAAAACATTCTGTGATATTATTAGTGTTCACACTGCTAAGACGGTGCAGGCCGTGTGGGGACAGAAGGGGTCTGCGAGTGACGCGCTTGCCTGTGCACCTATTCCACTCGTTACGAAGGGTGGTCAGAGAGACCCGTTTCCCTTTAAGCTGCAGTCTTCAGTGTTTTCAAGGATTATTGAAGAACTCGTTTTATTTTCAATGTGTACACCAGCCTGTTGCCTCAAGAAAAGGATGCCCAGTGTAGCTTCTCGATAGTGCAGTGAATCCTGCATGCCAACACGCATACGCTGTGCCGTGATCTCCTCATATGAACACCCCTAAAATCCATGCATAATAACCATCTAATTTGTAAAAATGCACCTTAACCACTTCCTGCCGGGGCATTTATCAATGTTGATGATGCTGGGGCAGGATATTTATCATTTTTTTCTGTTTTCAAAATTCTTTAAAAATTTCTATCATCATTTACTGGACACTTGCAAACACGTGAAGGCATGTCTGGTGTCCTCTCTAGCCAGACAGACAAAATCTATTGACGCCTGAGTATTTCAGCCAGGCCTGCAGCCTTTTAAAAAGAGCCCAAATTTTGTGGTGTTACGTAACATTTTTTTGTTCAAGAACCTGGCTCAGTGCACTGCTGACACTCTTTTCAATAGGGGCCAGATTAGCATGCAGCGGTGCTGTGTGGCTCATTGCTGCGGTGGTGGAGTGCTTTTGTCCCCGGTGGTAATTCGCTTGCTCTAAATGCCCCAAACTGTGACATAGATAAAGATTATCTCCAATTTTGAGAGTGAAAAATGTCGGTAATGCCCAGCAGCCTGGTCTTTTGTTCCAAGTACGGTCGCTTGTTACAAGGCCCTGTTCCCTTTGTCCAAATTCGGAGACCCTGGCCACATATAAAGCATACGTGTCCGGATCCGGAGTCCCCGGCAGGAAGTGGTTAAGCATTGAGGTTTTATTCTTTTCTATGCAGTTACAAAAAACCAGTGCTGCATCCCATTCAAATTTTGTTCATTGTGTCAGATATGCTTATACGCGGCTTCAAATATGTGTACAGACTCGGTTTACAAGCTTTGGACCTTGACCAGCATGGAAGGGCTTTTAGCTCCATAACATACAGCTGTTTGTCGTGTACGTACCAGTGCTGTGCAATACTCTAGCACAGTTGTAAACAAACCAGGCCACAACTCGTATTGTCCACAACAACTTTAGTCATAAAACAGGTTGAAAAACTCTGAATCAAAGATAAAATTGTCAATATCAACATTGCCGGCGGCTCGTAGATTCGAAGCCTCGTCATATGCATCATACATCTTGCTCGCAGCTATGAAACAAAGGATATGCACGCCATTGCCGCATGTTGGTGAATGAAAAGAGTTTGAACGTAGGGGGCGCTTGTCGCACAACACCCTGCCACCCCCCCCCGGCGCTGGCATCGGACTATCTTGATCCTGACCTTGGAAGGACTCAATGTAGCGACAGCATCAAACCATTTTTGATGCATGTGCAAAGCACGTGCAATTCTCTTTGTATGATGACAGCCGTGATACATTTTGGAATCTGCTGGCCATTATTAAAAGCTGTCCTGATAGCTCAACAGGATGGGCTGCTGTATCTGCCTTGAGCAGAAGCACCTCCTCATCGGATGAACAGAGCCAGGTTGGTGGGTTGTGTTCATTTTGCTGGTAGCGACGCTCCCGTAACACGTGCATTTCACAATCATTCTTGAACCAGCAAAGTGCAGTTTGGACCAAAGGAGTCTCTGTTGCCAGGAAAATTGCACCCTCTCTCAGTCGAGCTCCAGACTACTAGCTTCAAGCATGCAAGTTCAAAACCCAGGTTTTTCTGCAATTCTTGTTGAACATTTGTTCTTTATCCTCCATAAAGACTGAGAGTTTTATTTTTCTAAGAAAAATTAACTTGCGAGAACCTTTCTCTCTTGCAAGCAAACTTCATATAATCCATGTCGATGCCACGATAATGCGTACATGTGCAAAAAATCATGGGGATGCTGTCGCCAATGGCAGTCTTAAAAAAGAAAAAAAAATGGCTGCACAATGCACGTGATCAACACATATCAGTTGTAATACAAAACAGGAAATAAATATATTTGTGCTTTCTATACAGGTTTATTATTTATGCAAGCGGAAAGTTTCGGGAAAGGAGGAAGGGAATGTAAGTGACTTTGCATGCAAATGAAACCAGCCACAATCCACAATGCCCCGATGACCCTGTTCGGTCATCGAACACACAATGACCCCCCACATCAAGGTTTTACTTGGATTAGCGGAAGCGTTTTTTTGGGTTTTGAGACGGCAACGCAGGGTGTTAGATTCCCGAGTCCAGCATGATGTCAACGTTGGCGTCCGACAAACGCCGGTAGGATGGCCTGAAACCTTTGAAAACGTGCTGCAAAAATGAAGGGGGGGGGAGGAGTTAAGGGTTTGGAGAGGGGGGCAGGATAGGAGAGCAAGGAGTGAGATGATGTCAGATTCGGTGCAAATCCCATAAAGCCAGGTGACATCTACATATGTTTTGCACCAGATGAGAGCAAATTTAAGTATTGATGGCACCGCAGGGGAATGTCAGCACCAGCATGGGGTTTGTGAGTTCAATCCCTCCTCAGTAAATCCTCGGTTATTTTCCTTCATTATGATCTCAAACACTAGGTGAGCGTACAGTGTGTGCTAACGTACATCGAAGGAGGGCCATGCCCAACATTTATATCTTGCTACTTGGGGATGCAAAACATTCCACCAGTAGTCATTTGGGGATTGGGCATTTTATTAATTTTTGATTTTTTTTTTTTTGAATCTGACTAGTAATCCCGTTGAAATGAGCCAACTTTTAATGAAGATTGATCAACTCGGTTAAGGTTTTGTAGTATAAACCTGTCAAGCTTGACAAAGCAGGGCATTATCCAAACCCAAAGCCCTCAAATATGGCATTTCTGGGAGAGGGGAGGGAAATAATAACATTTCAAACCCAAGGGTGTTAGCAAAGACTCGCAGTCAGCATGAAGAAACTGTAACCACGGCAAATCACAGGCAAGATGCCCAAGGCTCCAACAACAGAGAGGCAGATGAACAGAGGGACGAGAGTGAGAGAGGTGGGTAGGCACGCAGCCAGAAAGACTGACAGTGACACCAAAGACATGAGACAAACTAGACAGAATGAACCCACACAGAGAACATGACGAGAGTTAATAAGAGATGAAGAGAACAGCAGAAAGACGAGCAGAGGCAACGACAACAAACAGATTGACAGGTGCACAAGTAATCAATAGGGTTCACCACCTCACACCAAACAATACTACAGTGGGGCAGCTAAAAGTTAAACACTGCCCATTCCAAGCATATCATGAAAATTGGTAAGCAACTGAACTGGTTTTTCCACAGCAGTCAGGCTAAGCTACTTTACTGTACTTTTACACAAGCCTACTGAATTGTATTAAAAACTTGTTAACTCTTCATATAAAGTGCTCCACATGTTCTACCCAGAGCTGGGCCCCAAGTCTTTACTTTGAACAGACATCCACAATCCACAAATCCTGGGTGTGAAATCTGAAATGGATGGAATACTGCCAGGAAAATCACAGACTGTACAAAAGACCAGAGCAGAGGTAAGTTCATGAGCCTGCAACAAATTTGTGTGTCTTGTCTTTGGGGAGGTTGGCCATCAGACTGGCACTGACGCAAATAGATCAAACAAAGATACAACACACAATGCCTGGACTAATAAACAGACTGACAAGACTGATTACTGGAAAACTATTCAGATACCCCAACAAAGGACGGAACATAACAAGGTATAAGAGATGTGTGCATACATGGGTGGGATACGCAGATCAGGGATGAGACGGGAAGGGATGGGAGAGGAAGGAATGGGAAGTGATAGGAAGGGATGGGATGAGACGGGAAGGGATGGGACGGGATGGGAAGGGATGGGAGGGGAAGGGATGGGAGAGGAAGGAATGGGATGGGAGGGGAAGGGATGAAAGGGGATGGGATGGGAAGGGA